GCTTCACGGTGCACTATCCGCAAACCTCTTTCGCTTATTTTCGAAGCTGTAACTGTAAAAGATTTTACCTACGGATTAGCTGGGAAAACCCGAAATATTCATATGTTCATTCCGAAGTTAGTCTTTTAACATCCTATTTAGGAAAAATCATATAGTGAAATAAATTAGAAGACATAAAGATATGATAAAAGGACTTATAGAGGAATAAAACTGTATAAATCTTCACAAGAATAACGTAATAATAAAGCATGTCCGTTTTAATTTTTCCAGTTCCATAACATAAAAAAGACAGAAACTGTCATGTATTGAAAACGAAATTAAACATATTTCCATGCATTAAGTTTAAATGTAAACGGTACCTCAAAGTACAAACTCTATTTTTTTTCATTTGCTGTCGGTGTTTTTTAAACATGAAATAATGATAAAATAAAAAGTGCTGACTGCATGCATTTGGACTGTCCCATAAGTCATTTGAATGTTTCTAAATTAATTTGCACAAAAACAATGAACACTTTGAAGCCAATTATACGTTCGTCAAAAGCCTTAAAAATAAAATGTCCGCTGATGACAAAAAAAATATTATGTGAAATTGAGGAAAATTATGACAATACAATTTCAAACATTTCTGAAGATACCGTATAGATTTAAAGACTTAATATCCTAAAATATAAACGGAAAAATAGCCCTTAATTAAAGATATATTCTATATACTTACATATACGTGAAAATGAAGAGTTTTCAATAATCGTGGGCCACTCTGAAAATTGCTAAAAAAACCTTGTGAATAACTAACCATTCATATTACATAACTTATTTGTCAGATTCCTGGACACTGTCATAAATCTTCGTCTTCCCGTGTATAAAAAAATGAAATGCAAGTTAGTAAGTATATCAAGTTGGAGATTACGTAACTTTATTCTATAAGTGCAAAAGGGTGGGAAGTTTAGAGTGAACTCAACTGTATATTGTCTTAAAATAACTGTGTTTTCGAGTATATCCTGTCAATATAAAAGAATGTTACCTCATTACTTAGAAAAGATTTTAACTTTAATTTTTGATTCATTTTATCAGACTTTATTATTGTATGAACACTCTATAGGCGCCTACTTATAGGGAAAAAAAACGTCGATTAATGTAAATGTTACACATACTTAGACTTTCACAAAGAGAAATAATTGGTGGAATATCCATATCTTTCAGTCTGAGCAAATAAAAAAAAAAGTTTACACTAAAATATAGCAATTATGAACAGTACAGTAGGTTTACGTGTATCTTAACAAATGAGGTTCAAGGGAGAAAGGTGTGGGTCGGTCGGTTAATGTGCGTGTTCGAAATTCACTTATAATTTGATTTTCCTATATATCTTAAATGGGTTTGTCTTTCTTCCAATCAGGACAAAACCATTCATCATTTTAGAAGGCAAAATTAAAATCGCATTACCATAATTAGATTGCAATGTTGTGCCGGTGTAACATTGTAAAGTGACCCCCCATAGAATAATGACCCCGCGGTCATTATTTTATATCAAATAGTGACCCCTTCTGTAAAATAGTGACCACCTTATATATAAAATAGTAACCCCCTATTTTATCTATAAAATATTGACCCCACCTAAAATAATCTGTAGAGTCAACGTCATATTACAATTGCGTATACGTGTTGGTGCTGTTGTTGTGACTGTTGCTGCTTCTGGTACTGCTGCTGCTACTGTCGCGATAACAGCTAGCAAAACAAAAGTAAAATTCAGAGGTCCCGCTAAGAATAAGCGAATGAATTTTAAAGTATTAAAGTTTTACTTATTAAACGTCGCCCGCGCCCTCGCTAATTGGCGTATTTTCGCTCTTCGCCCCGCCAATTCATCTTATAAAATCTCGACTTGTTGCTTGGCGGGGTCGATAGTCGAAACACACTAATTTGGTAGGAGTACGGGGCGAAGTTTTATTGAAAACACGCTTATTAGTTTTATTTATTGAACATCGCCCCGCGCCCGCTATTAAGCGTGTTTTCGTCCCGCGACCCCGCCATTTTATTTCTTAAATCTCGCTCCGCGCCCCGCGGGTCGAAGTTTTATTTATTTAACTTCGCTCCGCGCCCCCGCTACTAAGCGTAGTTTACTACGCGCCCCTGGCAGCCTGTTAATTCTTGAGTTTTCACCTGCATAAGTTGTTTGTAGTTTTCCATCGACAAAATCGTCTATGGTTCTTCTCTAATCATAAAAGTATCGCGAATTTTTAAAACAATTTAACGTCAGTCATAAATAATGACATTTCGCCTTACAAGACAGTCATGTTACTTTAATTGCTATTTCAAGGGCGGCTCTTGAATGTTGTTTTCACAATTAATGCCCTTAGACACTCCAGATACTTCAATGTGTCATTCATTGTTGCTAATAAAAGAAAAATAACACATTTTAGTTGCGCACAATAAAGGAACGCTGTCCTTGAATTGCGTTTGCATAACGCATTTTTTAAAAAAAAAATGGAGCTATACCGACTTCGGTTGATGTTGTTAATGATACCTGCTTTCTCATTAAGAGGGCATATTAGCATCAAATGTATACCATGTGTGCAGTGTAATGTAAGAATTTTGAAACAGGAAACGGTGATCTGGTCTGAATAAAAAAAGTGGCTCAAGGTCTTATTTAAAAAAGATGTAACTTGCGGCAAAATATTTCATTTTTTATTGTTATAAGGCGATTGAGGCATGTAGGACTATGTTTAATGACAGCTATGGAAGTGATGTCAAAAATCCTCTATATTTTTGTGACCAATAAGACACTCATATATACCCCTAAAATTAGGCGCGAAGTGATGAGATGGATTGCCTAATAGTTTTATATAAACTTCTAAGTTAAAAACAAGAGCTGTCACAGAAGAAAGCGAAGTCCGACTAATTAAATACTAGACGCCGTATAAAGAACACATAACTATGAAAGTAAAATCAATTATGATATAAATATCTCTCTGTATCTGAGATAGCACTCAAATGTTCTTTATTTTTGCACAACATAATATGTATATGGCCTTGTCAAAAAATGTTAAACATAAATTTCTATATGTTTTAATGGAAAAGATAGCAATTTAAAATCTGACGTCAATCCCTTCAAATACAAAAAATGATAAGGGCGAAAAGAAAATTTGAAAGTAAAAAAAAATGTTCAAAAAGGAAATAGCTCTTTAAAAAAGATGCTAGAGTTATGAACATTGTCATGCATGAGTAATGACAAAGAACAATTAATTATCTTAAGTCTAGAGTAGATACCATGTATTATAACAAAGATAATACTAAAAATCAATTTACAATTGAGTTCTTCGTTCAAAAATGAATTGAAGATAATTCTGGGAATACAGGAGCTTGCGTTTTATAACTCTTATCCAATTATGACAAGAAGTTATAGTAAAAATAACAATTGTTAATACAAATTCTAAGTTCAAGGGGGAAATAACACCGGAAATAGTCATGCTAGAGTTATGAACCTTGTCGCATAACATGTGGGTAATGATAAAAAATATGTATTTGAAGTTTGAAATAGATACCTTATAGAATAGAGAAGTTATATTTCTTAAAGAAAATTTTAAGTTTAAGGGGAGATAAATCTGAAAATATTTCTTCAAGAGTTATGACCCTTGTCAGATAAGATGTGGTTGATGATAAGGAATATGAATTTGAAGACTGAAATAGATACCTTTAAAGCTAAAGAAGTAAGTAAAAAATAACACTTTCAAGTAAAAATATCTAAGTTCAAGGGGAGACGATTCTTGACATATTGGTGCTAGAGTTATTAACCTTGTTGCATAAGGTGTGGTTAATGATAAGGAACATATATTTGAATATGAAGTTGATTTCTTAATAAATAAAGAATTAACAGTAAATAATTGATAAATATTTAAGGAAAATTCTAAATTCAATGGGAGATAAATCTGAAAATATTGGTTCTAGAATTGTGAACATTATCACATAAGGTGTAGTAAATGATTGGAACATATATTTGAAGTATGAAGTTGATTCCTTTAGAAATAAAGAAGAAACAGTAAAAATTAATATTTTTAAGGAAAATTCTAAGCTTAAGGGGAGATTAATCAGAAATCAATAAATAGACTAGAATCTGAATCGTTGCACGGCCGCACGGACAAGTGACATAACCATATTTCTCATCTGAGATAATTATATTGACAGTGTTTCTTTGAAAGGAGAGTCCAGCAAGGGCTTTATAGTTAGGGTTGGAGGGGTGGGGGTCATTATTCTACAGGAGGTCATTATTCTATGCGAGGGTCATGTTCTACGTGTAGGGGAGTCATAATATTATGACTTTCCGGTCGTAATATTAATGACTGGGTGGGGGGGGGGGGTCATTATTTTATATAAAATATTGACCGGGTGTCATTATTTTATGGGGGTCAGTTTACAACGTTACACCGGCATTGGAATTGTTTATAATAACACGAATGGCGATGTTTTCAGCTAGTTAATTAACTTCACGTATTTTTGTAGCAAAAGGCTCTCTTACTAGGTCCACAGTGAGCTATCTAATGGCAACGTTCAAAAGGAATCTTTATCTACAAAAAAGATTCAATCGTAAGTTATCGATATTGCCAATTTACTTTATAGATCTCAATAGAAAGTTTTCAATGTAAGTAAATGCTGAAACAGAAATACCCCCTTATTTTATCTTAAGTGTGAGATAATCCATTAATGTGTCATTGATACGATATACCATTCAAAGATGTTAATCAAAACTTTTTTAAAATAAAATACAGTATCGATTTGATATCCTTTTTATATATATTTTTTTTTCCAAATAATAAAATATAGCCATCATTGTTGATTTTTTTGCTTTTTTTGTTTTTGTTTTTGTTTTTTTGTTATCAGATACAAATGTACATGTGATCCCAGATCTTAAACTAAAGAGGTCGTTCGTAGGTTTTGAATATTTGTGATCTTGCAAATGACAATAAAATTAGACTGTTGTTATAACATTTATTAAATCTATATTTATGGTTTAAAACAAAAAGACAAAGGTGATAAAATATATAGAATTCTTCAACAAGAAATTAACAATGCAATTCCTAAACATAAGGGAGACAATCGACGACTTATTCAAAACGAGTTATATCCCTTTCATTATTTTGTCAGTAGGAAAACACATGGCAACACAATCTGACTAAAGTTCAAATTTACTTATTTCTTACATGTAGATCTGATAACCACCGTATATGTTTCGCCTTCATTATGATTCGGATTTCCCGAGAAAGCTATTTTGAGCCATGCAATCAAACCGGTTATTAAAGATAGGCATTAGACGAATATCAAAAAATCATTGTCCGTGGAAGTAAAACAAATTGTTGATTTTTTGTAAGAAAAAAAAATGTTTGAAGTTATTTGAAACAAGTTAACTGGAAATAATAGACACACTTTTTAATGGGTAAGCTTGCATTGCCAGTTTACAAGCAGGCAATATGGACAAAGCGATGTTTGTTCTCGAAATCGTGAAAAATTACCTACTCAGTATTGGTTTTCCTGCGGTTAAAATTAGACACCGCATCACATTCAAAATTGTGAAAACTCGCCCATGATTGGCTGTTTGAAAATCAGGAGAAGGTGACAACCTATTGCTGACCGTCAGATCCTTATGCCTAGCATTATTTAGGAGCTGATTTTAGTAACGTAACATTTGTTTGATAACTAAATTCATATATCAACACTTAATTGCCTATTTGAATTACTACCAACAGTAAAAAAACCCACTCATAAACGTCCCATAAAACTCCAAAGTGTCTGTAGCTAAGTAATCCAAGTTTGGCAGGAGTTTTTTTTATATGATACACAATGGTCAGTTTAGGAGTGTCGGCAGTAACATTTACCGATTATCACCGATGTCGTTCTCTTTTTTTTTGCACGTAAATCACGTTATTTTCGTCTTATTAAGAAATCTCAGTAAAAAACTTTTTAATCGGAGTACTGTTAAACATAAACATTCATAGAATGATGTTAATTAATTTAATATGAAACATAACATAATCCTTGACAGAAACACGAGGAAAAAATTTGCAGTTAGATGGAAAAAAAGAAGACAAACAAAACAAAAAATTCACTGGTTTATACGTACGAATCGTAGGTAAAAATAAAAAAAAACCCATAAAATAATACATTTTCCCCTGAAATAATCACAATCATACAAAATGTGACCTGTGAATAAAAACGAAAAGGGAAAGGACCATCGTGACACTCTTATAACTTTAAAATATTTATGTTTAAAAATATAGCCTACAAAGGTTTGGAGTAAGGGCACATTAAATTATACCATGCGACCAGTGCAGGTCACGATCCGGGTCATTTTATCACTATTCATTTTGAGCAGTGCTAGGTCATATAGAAAACTTCCCAGAGTGGTACGTGTTGTCCAGACAGACAAAAATGGACGTGCCCATGTAAGATTTTTTTTACTGTGTCTTCTAACATATTGCAATCAAACAGGATAAAGGGTTTGTAATAGATGCCTGGGTATAAAAATAGCTATTGGTTAAAGGGACTCCACTGAGGTTTCTTGACTTGATAGGACTGAACATATTTTTTGTGATTAATATTTTATTTGATGTAGATAGGTCCAGACAATTGCGTTGAAACGCTTTTCACTCAAATCGAGCTTGATTAAATTGTTTTTAATTTATTTTTGAGTATATTTCTACATTATCTTTTACATATCTTTCTCTTTTAAATTCTCCAGCTGATCTCTGTAAGAAATTCATTTTTATTGTGTTTTTAGGGTTTTGGACCTCCGTAGAGTTCCTTTAAGATATGAAATGCTCTAATGACAAAAGTTCAGACATTGAAAGTGTTTACCTATGACTCTATGACAGGACCCGATATGGGTTTCAACAAAACATGTTTTAACTACATTGGACTATTTGTGTACATTCATAAAACTACGACTGCAGCGTTCATATAGACAAATAATCTTTCTTACTTCGTCGTTAAAAAGTCACGTGGTATAGAAGACACCAGTCCTTGCACATATTCTTAAGGGAATGGTTCATGTGTTTATACCATTATATACCATTTATATAAAGGGAAATTATGCCTGGAATTGTTTTCTAAATGAAAGTAAAATATTGATTAATGATTTGTCAACATGAAGAAATGATATGCTAAACCAATGGGTGCAAGTCAAGATGTTTTATAAGGTACAATATATATAAAATATATGCAATACACGTACATTGTTTTTCTAAATGTATGACAAAATTTATTTGTAAAAGAAGGTATTCCAAAAAATTAATACTTTTACTAATTACCTCCCCTGACAATATTTTCACTTACTATGATATACACACTACAGTGAAATAACAATGTTTGACTTCTAAAATGAAACTACAAAATACAATTTTTTGAGCTGGTGAGTTGTGTCTATTCAATTAAATTTGGAACTCCTGTATTCGTGATACGCCGAGGGCACCCTCGCTTGTTGAGGGAGTTTTCTAACCAGTACGTCCTCATCAGTCCCTTACCCTGAAATTGAAATAAAAAAAAAAACATTTTTGCGAGGCAACACGCACATTATATTTCCAAAATAATGACAAACATTACGTAACGCTGAAAGGATAACAGTTTATAAGTTAAGACATCTTCAAAGTACATGTATTTATAAAATCGATGACCTTGAGAAATACTAACTAATGTACTTAAATTTCAGAAGTTTTATATTTTCAGCATCCTATCACTTTGGTAACCTAGTATCAAATAACGGTCACTAACTATTTGTTAGTTTATTCAATTTAATTTGGAGCCAATATATTCGTTATACGCCGAGTGTCAAATAACGGTTACTTACTATTCTTTAATCAATAACAGTCAATAACTATCTTTTAGTTGATTCAATTAAATTTGGAGCCACTGTATTCGTTATACTCCGAGTCACTTACTCTTTGTAAGTTTATTCAATTAAATTTGGAGCCACTGTATATGTTATACGCCGAATATCAAATAACAATCACTAACTATATGTGTTAGTTTATCAATTTTATTTGGAGGCACTTATTTTATTATGCCGAATATCAAATAACGGTCAATTACTGTTTGTTACTTTATTCAATTTGGAGCCATTGTATTCGTTATTCGGTCGAAGATGAAATTTAATACTGCAGTCATAATTTTTTAAAAGGAACAAGGCTTTACTTATGTCAATCAGATTGCCACAATTAAATATACACAGTGGTAGAGGATGCTATAATTTTAATTAAATGAAACCCTTGACGTATGTATAAAACATAATAACAAAATGATAATGACTTAAATAACATAAATTAGGTGTATGACGAAGATAGACATTTTAAAGCCTTATATTTTAGGTTATTTATGACACATATTATAGCACAAAACAGTTAAAAAAATATATTCCGTGTTGTATATACAAATAGACTAAAAATATTTAATTTTGGCATTCTGGGTATATAAAAAGATAAACAAAAAACTCCCCCTATATTAAATAATATAGTACTGATTCAAACCCATTTATTACGCTATTTTTTTATAAAAAATTTTATTGTTACCTTAATTGGTATTTCAGCTCTATATGTTGTCTCATAACCTCCGAGAAAATGTAATGCTGTATAAGTTGCCTCACTCAGATGCACTTTGTTGGCTGTAAAACAAATTTAATTCATCGCTATTGACAGATCTTATAAAGGTTCACATATTTACCAAAACCAAAATGTTAATGACAAAATTACACTGAATAATCTCCACACACCACCGATACCCAAACGGAAATGAGCACAGCACAGAAATGTTCTTTTGCATAAAACAATAATTCTTGAAAAGAGGTAATCATTCGGTGCATAAAATAATAGATATAGGCAAACATTGCAGACTCGGGTTTACTGTGTCTCTGCTCACCAGAGAAAATAGAAAGGCCATTAAGTTTCATGCACCCCCTAGCACCGGTTTAAGCAACATTCATAATTCAACATGAAAGGTATTGATTAAAGTTAAAAAATTTTCGATTATCATAGTCAACCTATAAAGTAGTCTTTGTTTACAACATATTTCCTAAACCCCCCCCCCCCACCCACTTATCTCAATATACTCCTGCGCACCGGTCGAATGTTCCACTACCGTTCACATTCTAAAGATGTATTAAATTTGTTGCTAAGAGGGGCGTAAGCTTAATGGTGAGTAGTATTGCAGGTGTCGTTGATCGATCTGGTTCGATCCTCGGTCGTGCAGAAATTTCTCCTTCACATTGGGTCGCAACGCTGATTCAAAAATCATGACGACTTTGTAGCCACTCACTTTTGGAAAATTGGTTATAATCGTTTAGTCATCCAGGAAGGAAATCTGGCTAAGAAATGACCAAAAACATGTGTTTAAACAGCGTCATCACTAGAAAGTCAAACAATTAAACTGCACAACATATCATATAAAGTAAGAGGCCAAACAAAGCATGGCGTAAGACTCTAACCTGCGCCGTTCGATTCCATCCTACTAGCGGTATTCACTGTGTCTCCAAACAGACAGTATCTTGGCATGGATAGTCCGACGACACCTAGCGGGATAATCAACACAGACAAAGGTGTTTTTAACAATAAGTTAGCCATGAAATTTGGACATTATTCATTTGCATACTTTTATTTTATGCCATAATCATTGATCATTTTTTGCTCTATAGGAATTGCCTTAAAGGCTCAAATAAGTCTTGTTCTAGTATCAAACTAGCTAATCATGTAATATATAATCGTATTTCTAAATGTACTTTATTCTTTAAAGGGACATAACTGAGATTTTTGACATGATGGGACTGAAACTTTTCTTAATATTTTTTTTTAATTGTGAAAATGATCCAAAATGGGAAAGCGTGCACAACGCTTTTCACTAAAATTAGGTGAAGAATAACACAAAAATACGATTTTCACTTATTTCTCTATCTGTTCAAGAATATATTTTTTCTAATTGTGAAAATGTTTCGAAAGGAAAAAGCGTTGCAACGCCTTTTACTGAAAACAGGTGAAGAATAACACAAAAATACGATGTTCAAAAGAATGATTATACTAATTGTGGAAATGATCCAAAATGGAAAAGCGTGCACAACGCTTTTCACTAAAATAAGGTGAAGAATAACACAAAAATACGATTTTCAACTTATTTCTGAGAATATTTCTAAGTCATTGTTTGCTTATCATTCTGTTTTGAGGTTCTCAGATTTTCCTTGGAAGATTCAAATTTTATGATCTTATACTGTTGTATCTCAGTGGAGTCCCTTTAATTTCTTAAAGTCAATATTATACAGTTCAACTACATTAGTTCATTTTGTTGATCTGAAAATAAAAGTGATAAATTATATATACCGGCACAACATGGACCAGTGTGCATTCCGATACGGACTCGAACCTCTTCCTCTGGTAGATGTTTGACTCGGAACTTTCCGGCTTCTTTGATGATATCCAATGACATATCCGCTATGACTCCTGGCGAAAAAAAAATGAAATTTTGTGTAACAGTACTCTTGACCAACGAAAACTATGCATAATTTTAGTAAAGCTGATTTTACACAAACTGTAATTGAATTTATGTTATTTAATACACTTATTTTGGAAGGCGTCTGCTAATGCCGCCATTTTTATTGCACGGGACAAGTTCAACAACTGGAATCCATGCACTCAAAAATATAGTTCGGTTTCATAACCAAAACTGTCAAAAATGTGTATAAAATAGTAGTTTTTGAAAACATCATTTCTGGTTACGTTACAATAAACGTATGTTTTAAAGAGAAATTATGTATTCTTGACATATAATCTTTAGTCCAAAAATGGTTTGTTTGTTTGTTCCATTTTACGCCTTTTCCCAACAGTATTTCAGTCATATAGGCGGGTAGTTTCCTGGAGAGTTACACCAGTACTAGACTACCTTCCTCCGCGCTAAACTACCAAAGCATCTCCTGGGGGAACGAACCCACACCAGAGAGATAACTGGATTAGAAGTCATCGACTCTTACCCTTCGACCACGGAGGCGGTTACAAAAACTGGTAAATGATACAGAAACGCCCAGTTCAAAGAAAGCTTTTTGTAATTAGAAAATGTTAAACTGCTGAACTTTATGTTGATATCTTCAAGTTATACTATGCTCATAGTCCAAGTGGGATATTTCTCTGATTGGTAGAATAAATAACTAGTATATTGTACATTTTGAAATTATTTATTTACCTGCGTGTAGATCTCCATTCCTTGTCGGTATTCCGCTTACCACAAGGTACGCATCTCCTATCGTCTCAACCTAAAATTGACATGTAAGTATTTACCCATAACATCCATATTTTTAGTTATGGGCGTGTCCAATTTTCATGCTTAGAACTGTCCATTATCAATTTTGGGGATATAAAGATAAAAATTAAATTCATCAAACAATATAAAGCCTGGTCAGTATGCACATGAAGGCTGGCTTAAAGCTTTTCTGGTGGAAATGACTATTTGGTTACAGACTGACGAACCTTTGACACCTATTGTAGAGTCATGTCAGCCTAGACTTCTTTGATCTATACTATCGGTAGTCCAAGTTTTATTTTGGTACTGAAATTCATTATTTTTATAATAGAATACTCAAATCTCAGAGAACGGCAAACCCATAACACAAACTTAGCAGATAAAGGATTGTTTGCTGTAAGTCTAAACTATTTTCCATGCATTTGATTATTTAGAGTTTTTATGTTTAAAACCTATAAGCGTTGAGTTTTTCTTGTTGAAGTCGGTGCTAAGTCGGTGCTACTGGACGTTGACGATGACTTGCTTGCGTCAATGTACAGGTTTTGAATTAATATTTCCAATTTGTACGTTCTTTCATTTTATGTATTTTAACATTAATATATTTGAATAGAATCTATTTATTACTTGACATTCTTTTGTTTATATATCATGTACTATTATGTACATATTTATCTACTCGATTGCGAAACAAGTTCTTGGAACTTATATTAATCTCTTTCGAGTCCGCTTCCTAGAACCAACTAGTACTCGTGTTACATGAAGAAACATGGTCCCTTGGTTGAGTGGCAGACACCTTAACCACTTGGCCACCGCTCCCCTTACTTATTAAATCACATCCTGCGTGATATAATGAATGTAACACAATATCTATTTGTTTTGGATTTAAGACGAAATTTCAGTTTCTGTATCCATATGTATTTTCTGATTTTCCTTTTTTAAGGATTGCTAACATCAAAGCCGGTAACAATGTCTTACTGTCATAAAGAAATTAGAAATCTGACATTCATCTCATTTCAATGATAGTCGTGCGGAAAAAAATGTCATAAAATTGGCTAGAGACGCGCGTTTTAACCTTCGCCATTCGTGTTTCAAACAGAGTTTGCAATTAATTACAAAATAAGATATCATATGATCAAAAAGTATGAAATATCATTAGCTAAATTTTTTTTGACAGATCCTATAAATACGTTATTCTTTGAAGTGAAATGCTTTTTACCTTGTATGCATCGTACTTTGAAATAACATCATCAAAACAGCTGTAGAGGTCATTCAAAAGGTCAATGACTTGCATCGGAGAACTTTTAGAAGCAAGTGTTGTAAAACCAACGATGTCCGAGAAAAAGACAGTTGCCGATTCGTACATTTCCGGCAACAAAGGATCGCCGACTTTCAGCTTATCAGCACAGCTTCTGTAAATCAGAGTATAGAAATTAACGTAAATGAGACATCTTACCCTGTTATATTGCGGAAATAAATAAAAAAAATCGCGGATTCAAAATTCTGACCCTGTCGTCGCGAAAACATGAATACTCGAAATATTTCGGGAATGGGGTTTTCGCGAAATAAAGATCACGCAAATATAAAGTGATTTACAGTAACATATTCATTTAATTAAGAACGTTTTGATAAATTTAAGATAGATCTATAATTAATAAAACGAACAACCACAAATAATTTCTCAACATTTTAGTTAACACACGAAGCTTAATGACATACAGATTTGTCTAGTGACGTGAAAATCGTGATAAAATCAATGTGAAAAAAGTAAATTAGTTACTTAGGTAGCATCCGATATAATAATTTATCAGTTTTCTGTTTTTCCTGCATGAGTTGTTGCGTCCTCTGGTCCACAAGCTCCTCTAGATTGCTCGCGTATTTCTCCAGACGGTTCAATATAATATCCACAATATTAGCACTCCTACAATGAAATCAAATGAGCCGCGTCACGACAAAACCAACATAATGGGTTTGCGCCCAGCATAGATCCAGACCAGCCTGCGCATTCGCGCAGTCTGATCAGGATCCATGCTGTTCGCTATCTGTTTCTCTACTTGTTATAGGGTTTGTAAGCGAACAGCATGGATCCTGATCAGACTGCGCGGACGCGCAGGCTGGTCTGGATCCATGCTGGTCGCAAACCCATTATGTTGGTTTAGTCGGGACGCGGCTCAAATACAGTTTTGTTACATAGTGTACACATCTTTTTCACATCTTTTTGTATCTCCTCTTAAATTTGTAAACGATGTAATGATATTTTGAATGCATAAATTTAGTCTACAGTTATGGCAGTTTTAATAACGTGTAGGTTTAATTCTTTTTCAGCATATTCTCTTAAATTTTTATACGGTCATCGACGGTTTAATGCACCAGTGCAATTCTTTTGTACAATATCTCTTAAATTTATTTTACGGTAGCTTTAATGCATTTAAAGTGATATGCTTTTGTTGCAGAATATTCTCTTAAATGTAATATACGGTCATAATAGTTTTAACGCATAAGTGAAATTCTTTTGTTACCTTATATTTGCTTAAATTCGTTATTCGGTCAAAATGACTTTAATGACGCATAAGTGATATTACTTGTAAGAGTATATTCTCTTAAAATTCATTATATGGCAATGGTCGCATAAGTTGGCTTATATTCTTTAAATTTACATTAAATTAACTATTATTCAGAGTTGTATAGAATATAAATGATTGAATCATTACACAAAAATTATGCACTTATTGATGAAACATGGTTTATATCACCACTTACTTTCCGTGCTGTATATTTTTCTTTATGAAGTTTTTTATGATATTGAATGTTGGTCTTTCACTTTCGTTGTCAAGCCAACACAACTGCATTAGTTTCTTGACCTCTGACGCCACTTCCAGGTCGGAAAATATTTCCGGTCTACACGGATTGTTTTCTCTATTTCTTACGCGTCCAATGATGTCTGCAGTGTACATGTATGTGAATAATAGTATTTTTTAAAACAGAAAAAAAACAACAAATAAAAAAAATAATGAAGTTATTGATATATCAAATAAGAATTCTTCAAGAAAGATAAAAAAATCTATATTTGGTTGTTTTTTTAAGACCATTCCAAAGTTGCTTGCCGCACATTTCCGATAAATTGGATGAGAAGCTTTTTCTCTAAATATATGTCAAGATGTGACCATAAGAACAATATGAGTTTATAGTTTTTGAAATTCCATTTACAGTATATTTTGGCTATTTAAAACAATATATTTTAAACAATGGTTTTGCATTTTTGTAATAGTAATACAATAATAATAATTATAATAATAATAATAATAATAATAATAATAATAATAATAATAATAATAAAAAATAATAGTAGTAATAATAATAATAATAATAATAATGACGACGTCCACAATAATGATGATAATAATCATAATAATACTAATAATAATAATAATAATAATAATAATAATACTAATAATAATAAAAATTATAATAATAATAATAATAATGATGATAATAATAATAAAAATGGAAACGTTATTTAAAGCATTGATAAAAGCTATTAGATTGTTTCGTCTTAAGATAAAAAACAAGTTAAAACCTTTTGCGGTCATATGACCAATTCCTGAAAATGGTCCCATTCTGTAGGAAATCTCATGAAGGATAATCCCAAAACTGTAAACATCAGCTTCTTTGCTTTTTGGTAGGGTACTATCTGCCAGTAATTCAGGCGCCGTCCACAGCATTTCTAAATTACACAGAAATATTTATCAAATTGTTTTATTCATTTTGTCAAGGATGTTTTCCCGCCAAACAATTATAACATCGGCCAATATCGTAGCAAATCGGTTATTTCTGGAACGATATCTTTTAAAAACTTGGGCGTTAGCTCATCCTTTATCGCTTTGTACTAAATTCCGGTTATAAACCGTAAAAAATTATTGAGTACCGAAGATTGTGAAAAATAACGTTCCGGAAATGATCGATTTATTACGATATTGGCCGATGTTAGAAAAGTTTTGGCGGGAATGCATTGCAGTAAGACTACCTTAAGATTGACTATACATGTCTCTTTTGATTTCTTCATTAAAGAACTGTACAGTACGGTACGGTACAATATTGATAAATTGACATTCACTGTCCTTGACACGAAGCATGTTCGTGCAATATCATGAAAAAAAACTAACTGAAGAAACAGTAAAAGTTCAGCGAAATATATATATAACTTAGCACGCATGCAATTAGAGCAAAGAAAGGTTTCCGGTAAAAACAAGTAATGATTAAAATGTACATGGTGTCAGTGTAAAAAAGTTAATTACGACAGTGTCGCGATGTGCTGACCTTTTAACATACTATAGCAAATTAAACCTATATATATGATAAATTGGTGTCACTCTGCACGTTATATTGACATTAATCTTCTGAAAATCCTGAAGGAATGGCTCTGGACTTCAGATGATTTTACCAGACAGGAATAAAGGAGATATCATATTTGAATATTTCGTACATTATGTTTTTCTACGTACAATCTGACTTCTTTTCAATGTTTCAGTGAAGCGATTTAACCACTGCGAAACCCTTTTAAAGCTCATTGGCATTTACTATACTAAAACAACACACGCGCACGCCACGACTTTGACACGCAAGCACATTAAAGGAAAAGACGTCACATTTGACGTCACATTATTTTACAAAACATATCCTGATTTACCTTTATATTTCTGATGGTCTTCTATGTTTTCATTCACTTGTTTGTCCAGAAATTTCTCTATACCGTAGTCGGTTATCTTTAAAGTCCATCTGTTATCCACGAGACAGTTGGAGCTCTTCAGCCGTCCATGGACCATCAATTTAGAATTATGTATGTAAATCATACCCTTGTCAAGAATACAAGATCAAAGATAAATTTTATGTGCATTGCAACACTTAATAAAGAAACACAATTAACGTTCAAACATTTCATCAATTCGAAACGTGTTATTTCTACATGCCGCATATATATGGATATAAACAAGGGGAAAAACAATCACACGCATATTTACGAAGAAATATAAAAATTGTAACATAATTATAAAACAAAACAAAAAAGAGCAATTACGTCAAAAGACACTTAAGTACACCGCAAGGAAGTCTCGGGAAGCCGAAGTTACACATTTAACAAAATTTTAGATCTAAAGGTTTTTATCTGCCATGCTTGATTTTCTGATTAAGGTTTTCCAGCACCGTCCATGATCATTGAGCCTGCAACATTTCAATTTTGCCGTGTTTGGCTTTCTTTGGGGATTCTGTTTTTAACTTTTCTATTTGATTAAGCCCGTTCTGGAGCGAAAAATAAATGAATCTGAATTAAAGCCGTTTGTAGACAGATAATGAAACTCTTTCATCTTCCATATATAAGACAAGAAAATATATAGCATCATTCAAGCGGTGTTTCATATTAGAACTTGCACTATATTTGTAAGCTATTTCATGGATATATCATGGTAAAAACTATGAAACACTTTGCACTTTTGTTTTACATTTTTCTCTACGCTGTGCTCGTCAGACTTTTAACATTGTTCGTTGATTCTGAGCTAAAATTCATATACCAATTTTTTTTCCTTCTTCGTGTTGGAGAAGACGTCAGGGGTTCGTCCGTGCGTTACTTTTACCTCAGACGGTCATATGAGTAGAACCACCAATTTCCCGTAAGAACTCGAACCGACATACATAAGGAGCGATTGGATCTACTAGTATGTCATCGGTGATAATTAATTTGTCACCATTGCTCTCAAGTTTTATATTTTCATCATCATTACAAATCACTCTAGTAACCTTAAGAACAGACTTTTGCACCGGAAAGTAATTTTCATATTCTTAAAGGAAATTTGTGTCACAACTTAATTTTTTTAGGATGGTGTGCACTAAATTGCGTGAGTCTGCTGCGTCTTTATATTGATACACGACTCGTCTGATTGATCACTCTGATATTCTTATATCAGTCCACTAATATACTTTTTTCAATTTCCTCCAATAACATATTTTATGACAAGATAAGGTATGGCAGGTAAATAACTTCTGCTGGCAAAAATAGGATGAGAAGTCACGTCTTAAGACAGGAAGCACGCGACTGTCATGTCAGACGACAGGATTGTCATGTTTTTATGAAATTTGTTGAGCAATAGATCTTGTGAAGAACTACAATTTTCAATTAGAATGTTTCTTACAAATATACTCTTACTTGCACTGATGTTTTGAAAGCTTACAAATGCTAGCAATGTTGTAAATAATATGAAGCGAGCAGATAAAGTGAAAAAAATGACACTTTACAAGAAGATCTTTATACATGTTTATCTAAAGGTACGAGTAAAATGACACTAGTTCGGTTTATTAAATATGCACTACATAAATATTTAATTGCGGACACCTCCAATCCCTCCCGAGGTGTGCCTGTCCCGGAAAAGGCCTTTAGACGGGAACGATTGTTAAATCTCCCGTGACTAACTTGGGAAAGTGTTGTCCAACAGAGGGTCACCGTTATGGAACACGAATGCATTGGATGTATTGATGACAGAATAGCATGAAAATAACGTCCAAACAAAAATGACGTTCAGTAACTGATCGACAAGGAAGCCCTATGTATTGCCAATATGGTTTAGTAAAAAAAAAACAAAACAATTTGAGCACCACTGTTGCTAACGTTGCCAACGACAACAATTACAAATGTTATTACGCTCGGACACGGCATAGCATGGCCGAGTAAACATGTCGGACCAGTAATCTAAGGAGCGCCAGCCTTGTGATTTCAAACTCCGTCGGGGCAAGTCGTTTTTTCATTGGGCAAGGAATTGTATCGTCATTGCTCAGTACTTGTTGGTTTCTGGAACGCATTCGAAATTATGTGTGTAGGCTAAAAGCTTTCTACAAAATCGAACTAAGTTGTGTATCAACTAAAATCACAAATCAAAAGCAAGTACCTGAACAAGGTCCATCGTTAAAGAATATTTAAAAGTCGAGTCCAGTTTTATTTCATCGTTTTCGAGGATATCCTGAAAAGAAAAAAAGTTCAGTTGCGTAACAATAATGTAGGGCATACTTCGAATCGTGTCAAAGAAATGAGAAAGACAATTATTTTCGACTAAAATCATACACAGAGTTGACAAAATAAGAATCGGTAAAATTATATCAAAACTGCTCTGTCGTTGATCTTTGCGTGAATTCTGAGCAAATGCTCCGAATTTCAACATTTTTGCATTAAACGCAGAAAGTAGATTCGTTTTTCATAAATATTTTTGAAATGATAAACATTTTGAGTTTTTGTTGAGTTTGATGACAAATCTTGCTTTTGAAGACGTAGTAATTAAGGAAATATTACTTTTTTTAAACTATAGAAAAGATTTGTTAATCCTCCTGAACAGAGTTTTTTGTTGTTGATAAAGTACATAAATGACGTGAACAATGATCCGAAGTAGCACTAATAGGAAAAATGAAATATACGGTTTGAATGTAAATGCACTTTATTGCATTATATGAAAAACAAATAATTTAGGCCGCACATCAGAACATTAATGAAACCCGATGGAAACACCATGAATTACATGTACATTGCGATACAGGGAAAAATACAATAAACGCAGTAAATTATGGTGGCAGATTTGTGCCATGTCTATAGTTTTTGCTCCGAGGGGACACCAGACGAAAACACGAAAAATATGCAAGGCACAAGGCGAAAATACGACGATACGTCAAAGTCACCACATTTTCGTACATTGTACTTTCGCTTTGCGGGGTGCAAAACGAAAACACGATAATACGACAAAGTAACCCTATGAAATGAAAGTAAGACTAAGTCGTCACTTTTGCTATTAATTTTCGTGCTTTCGCCTGGTGTCCCGCGAATCGAAAGTACGTCATCACCATAATAAATGGCGCAACATGTCTAATTACCTGTAGGCTTCCTTTGGGACAGTACAGAAATAACATGAATGGTGACGGCGTATCAAAACAAGCTCCCAGAAAAGGATTGATGTTGTCATGATTTAGTTCACGCATCTGCAGAAAAAACAACAACAACAAAATATATTTTAACAGCACATCGATTTTGCACATAAAAGTTAATGTGTTATTTGTTTTGAGATGCAGTTGTTTTGCTTCTGTTTGTTTTACTTTAACCATTGTTAACTTCTCTATATGTGCAATGTGAGGTTTTGGCAATACTTCCCCTTGAATCTACTTTACGTCCAATTTTTACGACAACGTTGGCATGATCGACTGTATAAACAATTTTTATAAAAAGATTTTTGAAACTTGGTCAACTAAAATAAAAATTTGATATGTTTAAACAGTATAGTCACAGTTAAATATTTCATGAAATGCTATTTGTTTATCCACTAATTTCATTTATTCAAAGGTCAAACATAGCAAAAGTCATTTATTCAAAGGTGAGTCTGGTGTCAGCTTTTACATAGATTACCATGCTATTCTTTGTAAGATTATATTCTTAGAATACAGGTAAATTTGATATCTTTTTGTGTGCAGTTATTTTCCTATGTGATCACTATGTAAAATAATGTCATTACCGCTTTTAGATCATAGAGATCCTCTTTCGATAACACAGATGGCTTGCGGACCGTTCTCACACACACAGTCTGTCCTTTATACAGGGCAACCGTCGTTAACAGAATATCTGTGTTAGCTGAATAACAGAAACAGCCTTATCCAAAATCAAATCTTCAACTTCAAAAGTATTTGGTAAAAATTGAAATTTCATTAATATAGCATAAAAGCTGTTAAAGTTGGCCATGGTGTTGCCCTAACATCGGCTTTTAAGCGGCATTTAGTTTCAACGATCCCGAATACAATATCGTCTCCAACATAAACATTGATGCTTTTAGTTCTCACTTGAACATCCATGTTTAGAGGAGTGGAATAAAGTCATTTATAAATATATGTATTCATGATGAACCGGGGATCTACCTACTGTCCTACCAGACTATCATTTATTTCAAACCTCTTGCAAGGTCGGTACTCGCAAAATTGAATACTTTATACAAATGTACATTTTTTTAGAGTTTTGCTTTGATTTTCTAAAATGGCGGTATTGTGTTTGGCCTTTGTAAGTTGGAAAACAGCATAAGAAGTCGATATCAATATCGGTTTCAAGAAAGGGATTTACTGAAAGGTTACAGTTTACTGACTCGCAAACGGACAGGCTAAAAGCGAAGATACATAATTTTGATAACTAACCATTTAAATCATTTGTGGAGCTTGTACAGGAAACATTTTCCTTGGTGGTGGAGTCCTGTAGAGCCGTCAATGACTTCATATTCATCTGAAAGAGAGAAAACATTTGAGCCGCGTCAAGACAAAACCAACATAATGGGTTTGCGACCAGCATGGATCCATATAAGGTCCCCATTCAATCTATTTGACTTTCCCTTATCAAGTTTTCAATTGCTATCATCAATTTGTACGCCCCTTTCATGCTAAGCCCTTTGTGATAGCAACTGCTTTGTTCAGTGTCCTACTGGGAGCTTTTCCCGGTAGCCCTGCTTGACTTGTAGATTTTGTTGGGGACTGCTGATTGTGAGTGTACCTCTGCCTTATTGACCTTTGTACCCGTACTGTATCTAGAATTTACCTTCCTTAGTGTGTGCACATTGCTTGTATGCTTTACGACGGATTTTTTTGTTTGTTTCGGTTTAAGTGACACCGGCACTGTTATGGTCATATGCAATCTCCTACGCAGTGATATCCCCTTACAGGATGCCGTAGCGTAACCGGTGCGCGGAGTTTGGGTCATATGACCACTTCCAGATAAATGTCAAGGTTGAGAAAGATCGGATAGAGGTAGAATCACAACAACCTGGCTCCATCTTTACATTAAAATAATTAATCTTTAAATCTGTATTATTTACGACCATTTTCGATAAACATTGTGTAAATACGTTATCAAAGTTGATCAAGCATTGAACTTATGGTTGCATACAAGTACATTATGAGCAATTAAAATACAAGTGTAAACAAGTTTTATAAAAGTCCTTTATAATGATGACAAAGTAATAAGTTAAATTTTGAAATGTCTTCTAATGGTAAATATAATTATATGCATTAACACAGCGATCACAATAGTCTTTGCAATTTGGTACCACGTATTAAGCCGTGTACCTACGCGTCTTAAGCCGATACTAGGGGGCGAGGCCGGTAGCCTGCACTTTTTAGTACGGTTCATGAACAGGCTCAATCAAACCGAGTCTGAAACATTTTCAATGTTGCGGCAGTTTTGGGCGTTCTTTAGAGACTACTTTTTGCTATTTTCAGATCAGACACCGGGTACTTCAAGGTTTTATCAGGCACAAAGCTGTTTGACGGTCCACATTTTTTTTAATTGATAGAAAAATGGTTGCAATTAAACATTAAGCAGACTATTGTATTTAAGCAGATGACAAATTTCAAATATTAGCATCCTATAGTTTATAAAGATAATATCTACGCCACCATTATCTAATGAAAAGCTACTTAACAAGGGTACAATATCATTTTAATATTGAAAAAGCTCTTTATATCCACCAAAGGATTTTTCAGTGCAAGTGTTTTTATGCGAAAAAAAAAAAAAAAAAAAAAAGTAAAAATGTAGTTTACCCTCGATCCGAACGCTGCTTTTGATTTCTGGAGCTCCACGTCATCTAACCTTACTTTCCAAATACTTTGTAGCAGTTCTTCCTCCATTTTCTTTCTCCTGATACAGAACCAGATTGTAAAGTTATTTTCAACAAATTATATCAAGAACTGTATAAAATAATGTAAAACTATTCTGCTGAATGTGCTTTTTAGTTTACGTTCAGTGTAAATTTAGTATACATTGTATATAAATTGTATACATATACACTCTTCACTATCGTAGCTTTTTAATTAAATTTCCATAGTCATGAACATATTCACATCACTGAACAATAAGCATAAAATACATTAATTTATTAACTCCTGAAGTTATAATAATTGATAGAGTAAAATAAAATACTTCATTTTAATTGAAATTTTACATACTCGAAATTTTTTTTTATGTATTTATTTGCATGCATGAACTAAACCTTATCGTGAGAGACATGGTTGTTACATGCATGAAATCATCTGTAAATGAAAATGAATCTTGTGCAAACAGCTCAAAAATCTTATATATTTTTTTTTCTAGTTTAAACATATTTATTTAAATATTTCACATATTTTACAATTTATATGTATAAAATTATCACATGTTAATGAAAGGGATAAGATCGGAAGATCATATATGGTTCATGTCCCTTTTATTTGTTTGATCAGTTAAACCCCTTTTTTACCAAGGAGCGAGCTATGCTTATTTTTTAGCTTATGAAATAACATTATAAAAGTACTTTTTTTAAACACAAAGTAAATAAAAGGGACACCATGCCTCAGAAACAAATATTTGTTTCCTTTTAAAAAAGGGCAACCGTTAATTTTATAATGTAAAAACAAATGTTTTAGAGAACTTAAGATGTTTATTACCCGAAAAGAGAAGCGCTGAATGTGAAAACTTTTGCCACACAAGTAGCAACATTTTAGCAAAGTAGTATTATGATTTTCATACAAAAATACAATATATCAAATCTCAATAACTTTACAAATTCCGAGAAAGAAAGAAGAAAACATGTAATTTCGAGTATTTGGCCAATAAGTAACATTTTCGGGACATAAAATATAAAGAGCTTTTGTTAAATAAAAATAAAAGCAATTCTGTTACAAAATGGGCCTTTAAGAAAAAGATTAAATTACCTTATGATAAGCACAGTGGCTGACGCTACGGACGCCAAAATGATGACGAACATGCATACCAACACTATTATAACGGTATTGTCTGGAAAACAAAACATAAAAAAATGAAATATATATGAAAACTTTTATAATGTTTTTACTTTCAGTCAAGACAATTTTTTAGAAAATTGAATAGAAACATGTGTTTAATAATGTTTAGATAATGGATTTAGGGTATGTAAGATGTTCAACAACTGAAGACAGACGCGCTGATTGTGCAATAATGTGTGATAAAGGTTGCAATATGTAAACAAAGTAGCATTTTGACTTCCATACTTAGTGCTTATGCTTATGCACTATCATTAGACGAATTACCAAAAGAAGCAAAAATGTAAATTATGAATTGTGGCAAATGACTTGTTTTTTTGGAAACTGTAAAAGGATACCAGAACTAAAAGTTTTTGAGAAATAAAAATGACAGCATTTCTGAGGCGTTCTGGGCCTTTAAGAAATATTTTATCATATTTGATGAAACTGTATATAGTCAAAATAATTTGAAAGGTTACAATATCGCTGTCGCAATTTGAAGCATGCTAGATACTTAAAATTGATTGTAAAAAATCTTTTGTTTCTTATTGTAGGTATCTGATATTTCAATTATAATAAATTTACTATTTGCAGCAGAGACCCACCCAATAATTGTATTGTTCGCCAAAGTCTTAAGAAAGACAAATGCATTTGATTCCAGACATTAAGTTGAAAAAGATATGTGAGAGGTAACTCTGCTTAGTATCTTTAATGATGACGCATAATACATGTATATTACAGAAGTCATTGAAGTTCCTTAAAACAATTTTTTTGGTAAAAAATAACAACAACAACAACAACAACAACAAAAACAACAACAAAGGTCCAAGTTTATCAATCTGCGCCTTTTTGGGGAGACGTTACCTATTTGATATCACATTGATCCGGTTTTTCGAGCTATTTGATATCCTTATTAGTGGTGTTTGCCGTACAAGTTTTTGTACGGGCTAATGACCATCCTATTCCGGTAACTGGCGGTTTAATTATAATTACTATGTAAAATGAAATTTAAAGATTTTTTATCATTATATTAGTGTTTGATGATACAAATGTCCAGTGACTTCTTTGGTAGTTATAAAAAGTTCAAACAACCACAGCAATATGTAAAGGTCTTTCCAGAGCTCAGAAAGTGATACTGTACCATAACGGCTATGTCTCTTTTTTGAGAATTCAATATGTTTTACCTGTTTCATCGACACGACACTTTTCATCAAAATATCCACATATAGGAATATCTACCGGCGGATTTCCATCAGCCGTGTGCCATCTAAATCCCGTTATCTCTTTTATTTTCTGAAATACATAATCTATTTTTGGAACACTTGTTACTTTCACTGCATGAACAAGATATGTTTGTAAAACATGTATGCCCCCTATCGGTAGCCAATTAGTCATGCACATAGTCAGGTTAATTTGACTGACTTTTGACCTAGTGACAAAAAAAACAACAATTGGGGCTATCTACTGGTCATAACTAGTCACTTGGTAATTGTGACTGTAAAGGTTGTGTGCAGCAATTTTATGAAAAAGGTATCACAAACCTTACCAAATGATATGTGCATACATTTCATGAATCATGTAGGCCTCCTTAATGGCAGTGAATTTGTTATATTAGATAAGACCTTGAAATGTGTAAACCTAAAACATTTTTTGTTTAATAAAAATATCAACCAAGGCAACATGAGTTATTGATTTATATAGGTCGGAAACGTCTTAACGTACAAGGTAAATTTGACTTTGACCTTTGAACTTTAAATCAAGAGGCATCATCTACTAGACAATACCACCACCGCTGTGGGTTCGAATCCCGACAGGGATTTTGGATTCTTTCATGTGAGGAAGCTATCCAGCTAGCTTACGGAACGTCGGTGGCTCTACTCAGGTGCCCGTTCGTGCATGAAATAATGCATGGCAGGGCACCTGAGGTCTTCCTCCAACGTAAAGCTGGAACGTCGCGATATGACCTTTACTGTGTCTATGTGACGTAAAATCCAATCAAAACAAACAAACAAACTGGACAATACCAATGCACCTGTGAAGTTTGAAGGTTTAGGGTCCCTGGGTTGTTGAGATATTGACCAGAAAGCTTATTTACCCTTAAGGTCAATGTGATATTGACCCATTTACCCCAACATTCATTGAGGTCGTCTTCTAACCAAAAGCAATGCATCTGTGAAGTTTGAAGATCAAGGGTCCATAGGTTGTGCAGTTATTGATAGGAAACCGTTTTGACATAAAAGGTTCATGTGACTTTTGACCCTTTAACCCCAACATCAAAAGGGATCATTTACTATCATTTACTTACCAAGACATATGTACGTACAAAGTTTTAGGGCCAAATGCCTATGTTAAGTAATTGATCAGAAACCGTTTCTACCTACAAGGTCAATATGAATCATCAACTGGTCATGCACAATCACCAAACCAAGTTTGAAGGTCATAGATTTAAAAGTGTTTTCAAAAATGATCCCAAAAAATTTTTTTGTTTTTTGGGGCCCCCCGAAAAAAAAATTTTTTTTGCGAAACACAAAAATTTAGGGGGGAAAAACTAAGGGTTTTAAATTTGTCGAAAAATTAAAGGGCTTACCGGGTTTGAAACAGACCCCAAAAACAATATTCATTTAAGGCGAGCAACAATACAATTTTTAAAAAACCAAAAGGGTTTTTTGTAAAAAAAAAAAAAAATTTTCCCCTCCATTTTTTTTTTAAAAAGTTTTTCTCACACCCTCTACGTGTTTTCATGGCTTATCCGCTTTTACTTTTTGGGACTTTTTTATTTAAGACTAAAGGGATATTAGGTTAAAAATTTAAAATTATTCCGCCCAGTGTAGAGCCTGGTAAGACCTCACGAATGTGCGGCGTGTCTTGACTCTTTACTGGTGGTAAAAATTAATTGTAATTTCAGTTCCAGTTAGATGATATAAGTAAATATTACACAATGAAGGCTTTTTGCAATTAACTATGATGGCTGATTTCTGTCATTTCGTGTCTTTGTGTTGGTACCCTTAAAGTCGGAGGCGAAGACACGAAAACACGATAATACACTCACGCTCACTTATCGTGTTTTCGCCAGGCTCGAACACGAAGACACAAACTGGCAGAAATCAGGCGCCAAAATTAACTTTCTAAAAATTTAATATGCACGTGTTTTGTCTGAAGTTTTGTCTGAAATGTGACTGGCCTGGCCACTCGAAAATCGTTTAATTTAAGGAATAAATAAAAATTGCAAATTTTAAAGAAACATAAAATACATTCTCAATAATAATGCAGCTTAAGAGGTTTTCACAAGGTGCCTATTGTTTTTTTTTCTTGTATTATTACCTTAAGTTTGGTCTCAGAAATAGCCACAATTTCCGCTTCATTATCAACTCCAACAAACTGGTAGATCCAAAAATACGGTATTCTATCTCCAGAAAGGCCCATATCGCATGGTCCAGAAATTCCTGTCATAAAACATAAAAGAGACATCTACTGGCCGAAGTACAATAATAGTGTGGAAACATAGTTAAATCTTATTTAAAAATAAGCGTTCGCTTAGTATGCAAGACTTATTAGTATCAAAATTTAGAGTTTTAATCTATATGAGAGTTAAGTTACAAACACAACAGGAAGGCATGACTGGACTACGACACTTGGTATTATTTTTATTATTATTATGCCGAAAGACCTACAACTACAATATTTAAAAACTACGCAGTCAAGGAAATAAAAAATAGAATACACATCATCATTTTACAATCTTATTTCTCTCAAAACAATAAACTTAACAAAAAACAGTTTTACACATTTCTACATAAAGTTGCGACACAGTATACATGTATAATTCTTTAAATATCAAAATTTTAAACTATGAAATGTAGTTATGAAGCGTTTACACCCAAAAACATATTGTAACCAAGTTTAGAAATTGCTGATAATTGAGTTTCGCAAGAGTTATGTGCTCCTCTGTGATATAAGAAATATTCCTCGGGGAATTTTTTTCCAGGAAGGTGATATTCAATCAAACACATAATAGGCCTATGGGAGTGTTACATTGAACGATATATTGAGGTATAATAAATTAATTTGTCACATAAGTTACAGGCACAATATGGCTCAGAAACAAATAAATTTTTATATCTTTAGAAAGGGCAAACATGAATTTTATAACGTTTAAATAATGGTTTTAAGAATTTAAGATGTTTGTTACCTGAAGAAATAAGTGATAAAAGTGAAATAATTTGTCATAAAGGTAGCAATATGTAAATGAAGTAGTATTTTGACATCCATACAAAATACTAATTCACTATAATGTACTTAATGCCAACAAAGTTACCGATAAAAAAATAAAGGTTCAAGTTTTTGGCCAATAAGTAACTTTTTGGATACTATAAAGGCACGCCAAATTTAAAAAAAAAAGCTTAATATTTTTTTTTGAAATAAAAATAAAAACATTTATGAGCTATAATGGGTCTTTAAATACCTTCGAATGATAGATCTTTCGTAAACTGTAGCATTGCCGCACCGTCCCTTTTATCAATATTATTTTCCGAGGAATAATTCAACCATAGGCCGTATAGATACATGGCTTCATACAAATTCTGGGCGCCAGTTCCTGCCTGTAAAACGAGAAGTTTGAATTCACATACCTGTACAGTAATCAAATAATTATAATACATATGATACAATAATATTTTTTTTATCAGAAAAAAATGGTTTTATAAGAAATATCAATGTTGATCAAATCATATATATATATATATATATCAGCCAGGCTATTTTCTCAGGTATGTCCTGTCAGCAATTTGTATTACAAAGTCCCTTTAAAGGAACTCCACTGATGTGTTTTGACTTGAAATAATTCTCCGACATAAATGATCTATTTGAGTGTGCAAAATTTCATATCATTTGCTCACTTCGTTTCTCCACAATAATTATTCTGAAAAATGACATAAAACTGAAAAGCGTTGCATAGCTTTTCTAACAACAGCAAAAAAAAAAAAAAATGTTTTTAGGTCTTTGGACCTTGTGGAGTTCCTTTAACATAATTGTAATAATGCAATTCCTTGCAAACAACAAGTTCATCAATAAAGAATATAAAACAAGAAATTAAGAAAACAGCAACAACAACAACAACAACAACAACAACAACAACAACATTACAATAAACATATTTCAGTTTTAATATCGATAAAATTACAAAATACAATAATAAAGGAAAAATAGGAATATATTCGTAGTCGGCTACCTCTATGCCATTATCCTTAGCGTATGTGCTGTTCCAGGGAGGTTCCGCCATTCTATCAATCACTTCTACCGAAAACGCATCTAGGCGCTGTTTACCCTCGTCTCCAACCCATTGGGCCGGTGTTACCTAAAGAAATTAAACATTCAAATTCTAGACAAAAAGATATTCCAATTCAAAACCCATTGTCATATAAATAAACTATCTTTGCTTCTTTTGTTTGATGGCAATTTCTATCATTATAGTGAATTAATATTTTGTATGAATAATCTTTGTTGATTAAGATTTACTGAATGTTGTAATATTTACAATTGCTTGAATATGTCCATTGTTATGTTTATGTTTTATTGAAGGCCTTGTTGAAAATAAGATTTTGCATTATATGTGTTGTATCTAATGCTTTATTGTATTGTCTTAATAAGTTACCTTCGTTAAATAAAGAGTTTATTATTATTATTGTTATTATTATTATACTACATTGTTTACAATATTGCTACCTTAACGACACGTTACTGTAACTTCAGCACTACTTTCTTCAGCTGTTCAACATCAAATATGCAGATTATGCTCTAGATCCATTTTTAAAGAATTATTAAGCAAATGTTTGTCATTTCAAAAGAATTTTATAAATATGGATTTCTGTGGCATACTATGCCTTTAATATATTGGAATCAGAACTAATCCTGAAGAGACCGGAAACTATAACTACACTGAGATCGAATGCTGGGAAACTACATGCACCTGCGACACAAACACTAACATGTTGTTATTCTTGTAAATATGTGATTTCTAGAAACAATAATTTATATTTTCATATGTTTAATATAATAATATTATTTTTAATAATACATAGAACATAAAATGACCTTTTCCGCACTTAAATTCTATTCTAGTTATATTGTATAACTTAGAATGAATATCTTTGTAATAAAGGGCTGTTCAAGCAAGTAAAATATAGAATAAGTCTACTGCCGATTTGAAAAAAAGTGCTTTATTTTTTTGTTGGTTTTCAAAACTATTGAATGTGAATCATATTAAATATTATTTTTATATTTTTACGTCTGCTATATATAGATAAACTTACGAATAACAAGTATTTAAACGCTCTTTTCGCAGTAGAATCATCTGCATCCCCTTGTTTCCACAGTGCCGTTGTTGGTGGGTCGAGTCCCGTAAAGATAAATAAATATTCCCCGTTACACATTCCTACCACACAAGCACGAATCAGAAAGCGCCTTAAGTCCGCGTCGACACACAAAAATATTACTGTAACATAAAACAAAGTAGGTAACTTATTGATAACGACATAAAATAGAGAAAAACAGAATTCCGAAAGAACGTCCAAAACATCAAAATTGAAAATCTTGCATCCTCGGTTTGACAGTCTCATTTAGAGCTAGATATGCAATACCTCAATCAACAGTAATCACGCCTCTTTTCTCTGATAAGGCGTGGTCTTTTGGTTTTTCAAATCCTTCCCCTTTCCCAAAACTAAATGCCTTATACTGTCAAATAGACATATCGCCGGCTATTTTGGCGCTAGAACATGATCACACCATTGGTCAGGTATTTCGTTAGAAACTAGGGATAGAGACACCACGTTAAAAAATGACTGGTGAAAAACACTGCTACATATGTATTTTTATTTCTCAATTTTTACCTCGCGGAAGTATCTTTTTATATAAAAAAGAGGTATTTAAACTTCCAACTGAATAAAGAATCTGAAAAAGGAGGGAATAATTAAAACATGAATTAAAAGGTAAAAATTGCAGGCTCGGTTTGAGTCGGTTCATGTGAGATAATGTTATGTGCAATATCCTTTAGGCCCCCCATAGCACCGGCTTAAGCAATATTTGAGCTTTAACACAATGAAGTATATTCAGGGAGGGCCGATCGCTAATGTTGTAAGAACTTGGGCCCAACTGTTTTGCTATTTGTTATTTCGAAATCAATTTGTTTCTCTGTATATTAACATATATTAGCAATAGAATATGAATAAATGGTTAAGTATATTTATTATTTCGAATAACCAAAAATAAATATATTAGAGCTGAGATGAAGAACACAGAAACTTTTTTCAAAGCTGCAACACCTCACATAACACCTGAAATTCATGATAGCATTTGTCCAGTACCAATAGAGACAAAGAACAAAAAGGAGAGAAAAAACGAATAAAATCAATTTGCATTGTACTTACTTCTACTGGTTCTTTTTATGAGCTTGAGATAATTATCAACGACAGCAGTTTCTAAATACACGTTTGGTGGATATGCTATGCTCTGTGTTATTGTCAGGTTTGCTTCGTTAAAAAAGTCCTTAATGCCGTTGGCACTGTATAGACAGAGTCCTGTAAAATATCGTTAAAATAGAAAAAAGAAACACTCAATATTTGAAGATTTATTGTGCCAATTTTGAGTGAATACAAAACAAAAATGATTTAGTTATTCTAAAAAATATTACACTATGAATTTAACAAAGATTAAACAATTTCATACAGGCCGTTTTGTGTATTACTTGCTTTTTTTCGGCGTTACCGTTGAATTTATGTATTGAGCATTAATGAGCTACATACATTTACTATAAAATAAGACTATATTTTACTTTGCATGTTGCTTACGAAAAAATTAGCCTTGAAACGTGTGTGTTGTCCAAATTGGCATTTCACTGTAGTTATCTAAATACTACGAAAGACCGGTGGGGCATTTCAACTTCTTTAATTCTCGATTTCAGCTTCATGAATTCTCGATTTCAACTTCAGGAATTCATGATTTCCACTTCACGAATTCACGATTTCAACTTCAAAAATATTCGTTAAGTTGAAATCGTGAATTCGTGAAGTTGAAATCGTGAATTCACGAAGTTGAAATCGTGCAGCTGAAATCGTGAATTTATAAAGTTGAAATCGTTAATTTGTGAAGTTGAAATCGTGAATTCGTGAAGTTGAAATCGTAAATTCGTGAAGTTGAAATCGTGAATTCATGAAGTTGAAATCGTGAATTCGTGAATTCGTGAATTCCGTATTTTGAAAACGGGAATTCACGAAGTTTAAATTGTGAATTCACGAAGTTTTAATTGTGAATTCATGAAGGTGAAATCGGGAATTCATGAAGTTGAAATTACCCTACCGGTCTTTCGTAAAATAAAATTCGGAAATCACTTCGCACTTGAATCAAATTGTTTCGGATATTTACCATAATCAATATACAATAGCCCAATCGTTGTCCAATCAAATATTTGAAACATTGTAACCAATGATCTGCCCGATTGACTTAAAGGTCCGCTTGTCCGAACAAAGGTGGTATAGAGCGTTTTGTCAGCCAGATCGTAGCTGTTGGCAGCCCAGGAAATGTGCGGGAAATTCCAATGTGAGGTCAAATGTGCCGCGGGAACAGTGACTGAAATAGAAAGGAATATTAACTGTTGGCAGCCCAGGAGAAAATGCGGTAAATTTCAATGAAAGGTCAAATGCGCAGCGGGAAAAGTGCCTGAAATAAAAAATAAATCGTAGCTGTTGGCAGCCCAGGAAAAATGCGGGAAATTCCAATGTGAGGTCAAATGTGCCGGGGAACAGTGACTAAAATAGAAATAAATTGTAGCTGTTGGCAGCCCAGGAAAAATGCGGTAAATTTCAATGAGAGGTTAAATGCGCAGCAGGAAAAGTGCCTGAAATAAAAAATAAATCGTAGCTGTTGGTAGCTCAGGAAATATGCGGTAAATTTCAATGAAATGTCAAATGCGCAGCGGGGAAAGGGACTGGAGTTAGAATAAATTGTAGCTGTTGGTAAATGTACATGGAATTCCGATGAGATGTCAAATGTGCAGCTAGTAACAGTGACTGGAATTTAAAAAATCCATTTAAAAAAAAAAACATGCATTTTCATTGATTGTAGGAGTATCTCTTCAAAGAACAACATAAAAGAAAAGCTTAAAGCTAAAACCACCAAGTATTTTTTAGAAATATACCGATTCCAACGAAAACAAAAAAAATTATAAAAATCACAAATGTATTGATTTATCTGTTAGACAGATATACATGTATTCAAACCATTTGTCTACTTGATTGCAAACAATATAACGATATCTGCTGTTATAAAAATGGAACCAGAGAAATCCTGTCTTGACAGCATTTGTGTTAATGACTGTGTTGTTATAGTTCAGATGAAACACAAAACTGCAGTAAGTGTTCAATTCCACAGGGGACTCTAAAATGACGTCTGTGTTACTGATAGACAACACTACTAAGTGAAATTTTGCACGCCAATGAAATATAAATAGATCAATTATGGAATCAACTTAAATTATTATTTAGCAATTAGACGTTGTCCACTGAAAGCGTTAATTGATGTTTTATTGTTATATTTATTTACTTTTAGTATATCAAACTGATTCTTGTTTTGACATCTAAAAGTTATCATTTCAAAATATATTACTATAGAAAATCACCCATGAAAAGTGATCAAAGTTTCTGTAAGTTATACACAAATATATCTTCCATAATTATTGGAGGGTATTAAACAATATTAGACGGTCTGTAATTGGTACATGCACACTGCTGTTTCTTGGATGAAAGAAATTTGTAGATATCTGAAAATTGATGACATGACGCATTCGCAAAATTTGTCATTTAACACTAACATTCTTAATAAACTATTAAAGATTTATTATGAAACCTTAAACTCTGTTATTTTCTCTTTATATAATAAATATTTGCTTTGAATAACAATAAAAAAGGAAACTGTTATTTTAGAGGATTGAACAAAATATGATTATTTTTCTGGCCAATCATAACTATCAAACTTTGATTTGTAAACAATCTTGGCAAAGCAAATTGGGTACCTCTTGAAGATGGAGAACCAAATATAACATCAACGTTTTCATTCATAACCAGATCAACAACATTCCCGACACCATCCGACTGTAAGATCGTGTCTTTCCAAACAATACTGAAATAAAGATGTTTAGATGTCATTATTCTTAATATGTAATATTCATAATATGTGATATTCATAATATGTAATATTCATAATATATAACAGAAAGAGCATCGAAACACGAGGCTATCTGATATGTACGAGTAGGAGTATAAAAAAAACTGCAGAGTGTTTTTATGTGCTTTCTCTTTTATATCATAGGCACAAATAAAAACACGATCCCTGTTGTCACAATATGAAACCCCAGAAAAAAAGTAACCAATAAACGAGCATATGAATATGATGTTTCTTACGCTATCTATTTCTCTGTCGTTACAAAAAGTTAAGCCCAGATAAAATGAGCCAATCAATGGACATGCTCTGGAGTGCGGGTAATTTATAACTGCAACCCAGTTAACGCACTGTGCATGCATATGTGTACGATTTAACTCTGACATATTTTCAACAGAAAAGTCCCCAAGCTATGACACAACTCAGTATCAATGTCCTTTGTACCTTGATTTTAATAAGAAAGATCACAATTCCTATGACGTAGTACTCAGTTCTTTTTAAATCTCAATTCAGGGCCTGAGATTATAAAAAAATTACCTCACCTCCAATGTTAATCTCAGGCATCTGATTGGTCAGAAACTGGGACGTGATTTAAACGGACCAATGAAAATCCTTTGATTTCAAAAATGTTTTATAACCTTGAGACCATGCCAGTTGTTTTATGATTTTTGTAGTGTAAGTTACATTTCTACTTAATTACATTTCTGTTTCATTTATTTGTTCTCTTTTCCAATAGTGTTTCCTCTTCTGTCCCTAAAGCGTGTTATTTCAAAACTGGCAGGACTTTGTTTTTCAATCACCAATTTTTCATAAGCAGCAGCAGCAGCAGCAGCAGCAGCAGCAGCAGCAGCAGAAACAACAACAACAACAAATTACGTACAGTTACATTGAGTTCACAATTTTCATTAACTTGCACTCCTTAAAGACTGATCCTTATGTAAGGTTTCACTTATAATTACCCCTTAAAGACAGAAACTTACGTATGGTTTTTATTCATTAACGAACTCTAAATTAGAGGACATACATGACATGTGCTTCTTATTAGATAAAATAGGCAAATCAAAAATGGTAGGGATTATTTTTTTACACTTTCATTCCTTATAAATGCGATAAATTTTCTAGAAATTAGCCCTAATTGGCATTTTGATATTGATCATTCTCGCGGAGTGATAAAGAAAAAAAGTGTTAATTATAAGAAATAAATATCACGTACCATATTGATTAAGATACTTATTAAAGGGATATATGTATGATTTTCTTAGTTGTTATTTGAACCAAATCACGGACAGCTTTAATGATCTGATTTCAGCTTCAGAGTCACGTGTCAATTTCTTGAGTCAATTTCTGTTTTAATCATTTAATTATTGATGAAAAGAAATAAATTGATGATTTGCATAATTCATCATGAATGACATAACTGATGATTTTTAGATCATTGATAGATCTCTCAGTATGAAATTAACGAAAGTTTAAGTTGGTCTTTCTTAATAAATGATGAATAAATGGAGACGTCTAATCAAGATGAAAATTAAATGCTTCGTTAGTCCATAAATGATGAATGAAGCCATAAAACTTATCTGACGCTGCCACTCTAATTTTTAATACCCCAAATGATGATGTTTTATTTTTCGACACTTAAGTGCCGCTGCCACTCTAATTTCTAATACCCCAAATGATGATGTTTTATTTTTCGAAACTTATTTGACGCTGCCGCTGTAATTTTTATTACCGACAAAAACAATCTTTTTTTTAAAGATGATGCACTATTGCACGTCATTTTATTTAGCGATGTGTCTAAACACCCGATCCTGTTTTGTTAGCTGCTACTAGCACAATTTTATTAGACTTATTAGGCTGCTACTAGCACTAACAAAAGACGCCTTTTCATACTACAGTATGTTTCTGTTAGTGCTACTAGCGCTAACAAAAGACAATGTTACTTACAGAAGTAAAATGAAATTGTAAATTAACTTGAAATGATTTGCTGTCTATCATGTGTGTTTGAACCGTAATGTAAACTGAATTGGTCTACAATTAGTACATTTTCCAGTGAATTAGTCTACAAAACACAAAAACCATGTTTGTTTGATTGGGTTTTACGGCACAGTATATGCCATATGGCGACGTTCCAGATTTGCTGGTGGAGGAAGACCTCAGGTGCTCTCAGGCATAAACGAGCAGCTGAGTAGAACCACCGACAATCGTAACCTAGCTGGATAGATTCCTCACATGAATGAATTCAAACTGTCGGGATTCGAACCAACAGCGGTGAGGGGCAAGTGGTTTGAAGTCAACCTTAACCATACACTTACCAACACCATTCATATATAATTCTTTCGTGGTTTCTTGTTATTCCTGACACTAAATACTGTGGAAGAAAATATTTATTTAATCACATACCCTCCATTACAGAGAAATTCACCAAAATATTGTTAAACAAAGATAGGATAGATTCGTAGCTGAAAATAAGTTTCGATATATTACATATTACTAAGCGAGAAAAAGGATAAACTTAGGACAGAAGACTTAGTTGTAGCCAATAAATTCTCAGAATATTATAATGGTTTTAAGGCGGCTGAACATTGATGTTTTACTTTTATTATAAAATATAGAAATGTTGTAATGTTTTGACTGTGGTTAGAAAAAATATTACTTATTGCATTGATGCTTTCACAGTCGCTTTATTGCGTGAATAATTGCACAGAGGGAAATTAACCATTATTGTCATATGTGAAAGCTTAATTATATTCACAGCATCATATGTTGGCAAAATGTGCGTGTTACAAAATATTATACCCTTTGTCAAAACAACAATGTCTTCTTTATTTTCGAAATGCGATTTGAATGTATCATAGTATAACCGATGGAAATTTAAATCTAATAGCTTTATCAATTGATATATTTGTAAACCATTCACATGCACTTGATACTTAATCTATAACGAAACACTTTTGATGGTACCGCATAATTCAAAATGAGAGCATATACATATCAGTTTGTTAAAAATAATGAGATACGGTTCGTTGGTTGGTAGGTTAGGCAGGTAGGTGTTGGTAGGTGGTGGGTAGGTAGGTGTTGGTAGGTGATGATATGGGTTTATCATGTATATTTGTAAATGAAAATTGTATTAAAGGTATTTGATATCTAAAAGGAACGTAGGACAAATAGAAAAACAAATCCAAACCGGACGCCAAAATCGTTTCAACACTCAATGTTTGCATAAATGATACATAAACATTGATAACAAGAATGATGGTAACAATAATGCTTTGCACTATTGATATTACATGCATTTTAAGACAGTGTCAACAAATAACATCATGTTTAATTATCTGTGCTTATATCATTTACAGAAACAGATTGCCAAATGTGTAACCTTGTCTTTAATTAAACCACCTACGATTAAAATCTCATCCAAATACTCGATATTGAGAAGTTCCTTGAACGCAAGCAATGATGTTGGTGTTAACCCTTACCACCTTATATACCTTACAATGGCATGGTCGTCTTTCAATAGAATCTGTTAAATTCGATAGACTCTGTTGCTGCTACTAGGCTAAAGGGTTCAAAGCTGCAAATTTAAAGTTAATATGTTTTAAGATAAAAATAAATGCGCCCCCAATTTAATGGTTTTCATATGTTGATTTTTTTTTATCCGAAATGGCATGAAATTTAAAATTGTTAATTCCTCTTGTTCATATGCAAAGTATCATGTGCTTGTCCGAATCGAAATGATAACTGAAACATTAACTGGAAATAGCTCTTAACATGATACAAAGGTTATGTAAATAAACGCCAACATCTTTCAGATGCACTGCTATTTCAATAATCGGAAATACGACCAACAAATTACATTTTGAACAGGTGATTTTTAACTATATACCATCACAACAAATATATATTCAATAATAAACATTATAATGTCGAGGGATAAGTTTCATATTAATCAGAGTCTCAACTTTGCGAGTGTGATATTGAATCCTGTTACTTAGCAACCGAAAAATAATACAATACAATTCCCAAAATATCTTGTAAAAACAATGAAAAACAAGTTTTGATAAGAAATATATACAAATATTTATCATATAAATATACTAGAACAGTTAAAATGTTAAAAGAGCAATCCAAGCAAAAATATTATAAAATTATAAAGAAGAAGTTTCTCTTGACTACAGTATTCTTTAATGAAATATATTCAAAAAGTTATAAAGAAGAATTAGCACTTATATAACTATAGAAAGGAAATTTTGCTTGACTATTCTTTAATGTTATTTGATTATTTAAAACATTATTTAAACGAGTATCACTTGTTAACATAGTTAAATGATATTTTTTCAACATTGATAAAATGATCGGAGAAAAGAATGTTGTCAGCGGAACAGTAACGATAGTAAGCGAGCAATCGCGTAAATAGTAAAATGTTATCTGCAGAATGAAAACCAAAGGAGCCCAAATGCGTATGAGTTTATACTTTTTGGCTTTTCGTCTCAACCCACATATTTTTAACACAATTTTTACTTAAAGAAAGAATGAATTAAATGGACTCTCATTACCAAGTGATACTTAAGTGCTTTCGTCAAAGGATTTTTTTAAAGAAATGAACGTTTATCATAATGTAAAAGATACATTATTAGCTAATATAGAATTACAACAAATTGAACACATTCATACTTTGATCTCTCATTAAAGTAGGAGCTCCTCAAGCAAATGAAGGAAAGTTTGTCCAACACAGTTGCCCAGGGAATTGGCTGTAAAAGCTTTGTGCTTGTTTTGTGCTTGTTATTGTAACGTGTCATCTAATCATTTGTTGTTCAATGAAATATCTTAATGTAACCATTGAACTCGGCAATTCCACATTTCTATTTCCCTTACCAGTTATTTTTATGCTATATTTTTTATTCTGTTAGAATGTGGTGTTAACACTGTACAACTTAACATATAACATTACTTTAACATT